AAAAACAGTTATTTTCTTACAGATATAACTTGCATAACTATCTAAATAGTTTTTGAAGATTTTTCTTTTTAAACAGTTTTGCAGATTTAGTTTCTTTAAGCTCTAATTCAATCGAATTCCATAATTTTGGAAATAAAGCGGAATAAAAATATTCTAGCGGATATTTTCATAATCTGCAGATTAATTTAATCTTTTCTTGATGTTCCGTGTAGTGCCATACAAGATATCCCGTGAGCAGCCGCACAGAAGCCTAGTAGTTTCTAGTTAAACTAATCAGAGAAAAGAGAATTACGAATATTCAAAATCATCTGAAAAAAATTTTAAAAATTAAAAGTGCCAAATAGAAAAGTGCCCACTGAGAATATCGATATCAAACAATCAGAATTGAGAATTCAACAAAGTTCCCAGCTAAGATCTCTTGCATCAAAGTTTGAATCAGTGCTATACAGTCTACAGTTCACTTTGAGCCCTTGAGTTATGATATAGTGATTAATGTCTATTCAATTCACTGATTCTTCAACAACTCTTTTCCTCTAAATATTTATCATTTCTTTTTAGCAACTGCATACTGAGTTTAAGTTTGAATTTCTTTCAAGGAATATTAATTTTTCAAATGAACTTCAGTTCTCTTCCAAGTGAGAAACGCCAGACACCCTAAATAAATTAAAGCAATAAGTGTACCGAGCTGAAAACTTTAGAATGAGAGATATCGAGATCAATGCTTGATCCTCTCCTTTTACTAATCTCCATACTAATTTAGTCTTTAGATTAATTTCTAGAGATTAGAGATGCGCTCTTGAAACAAAAATCGGTTTTTATTTTTCCCGCATTTGTGGTGTCGTATCAAATAAACTAATGATCGATTAACGAACGTAAATTTATATTAATGTTTATTAAGAATAACACTCTAAAGGATTTTAGTCTTCAAACGTGATGAAATATGTTTTTTAGTAAATTCATACTAACATGATGAAATTTATATTTGTTTTAATGCTGTAACATCCGGCTTGTGAACAGTTGACTTTACTTCAATCGGATATTAGTTCAATCGATATAGCATCTTATCTGTATTTGTGATCAAACGTATCTTTAGTAGTAGTAGAAAATGTGATACCAACGAAAGAGGATTAATAATGAAATTAAAGTTTCCGCACTGGATATTCAGATTAAGCTATCAGGATTAAAGATGTCCCATTTTAAAGTTTTCAGCTCAGTATAGTCATATGGAGTAATAAATAAAAACTAAGTACGTAAAATTTTCAAGATAGGGGGAAGTCTCTGCAATCCTCCCGCCTCAATGCACCCAAACTTTTTCAAATCGGAGAGTAAGGCTGGACACGTTAGAACTATTTCAAAGCGGAGAGTAAGGCTGGACACGTTAGAACTATTTCAAATCGGAGAGTAAGGCTGGACACGTTAGAACTATTTCAAATCGGAGAGTAAGGCTGGACACGTTAAAACTTTTTCAAAGCGGAGAGTAAGGCTGGACACGTTAGAACTATTTCAAATCGGAGAGTAAGGCTGGACACATTAGAACTTTTTCAAATCGGAGAGAAAGGCTGGACACGTTAAAACTTTTTCAATCAATTTATTAAACGTGGTGAAATCAATTAACGGAACGGCCAGGCTCAGCAAACAGTTTTTTACCTTCGTCAATTGAATTGTTATTCGTTAGTGATCTTTAATTTTTAACGTCGTAACAGCAGATGTACCAAGTATTCGTTAACTGTCGTTACATTTAACGGTTGTCGAGTTTGTTAACGAAAGTTGCACAACTATCCACGAATGGTATTCCCCCTTAAAAAATTTAAATTTTACAATTCCTTAGCTGCTTATACATCATACATAATATAAAGACCTAAGTACAGAGTTCGAGACAAAACAAAAAAAAACGGGTTAAGCTTTAAGTTACACAATAATAAATGTTTTTCGCTGGGCTAATGTTTGGGGCAAAAATTAAATCAAAAAGAAGTTGACAAAATGTAGAAATATGTTTATATATGTAGAAAAAAAATCTTCGAAGCTAAGTTTTTGTTAAAGAAATCTCAAGAAATCAATTTGAATTTTTTTTTTATTCTTTTCCAAAATTTCCTAGAAATCTATGGATAAATAAAATAGATAAAACAAAAAATTCACTATAAAGGAATTGAGTTTTTGCCACAAACTCGGATTTTTAAATCCCAATTTCTCTCGTAGAATTCTGGTGAATCAAACAATGTAAGTTTGAAATATGAAAGGTATGCATTATCTGGTTGTGGAGATTTAGGTATTATAAAATTGGCATTTGTGGCAAAAACTCAATTCCTTTGTTTTTACTGCATCAAATCAAAACAAAGCCATATTTAATGCTTACAAATATTTCATGTTACTAATTACATCTTTTATAACAAATGTAAGTTGGGAACTTTTGAATGGTGGCTATCGGGATTAATGCTTGATCCAGTCTTTTTCTTAATCTCCAGATTAAATTATGCTTGTTCTCCTATTTTATTAATCTCCAGATGAATTAACCGATCGGGATTGAGGATATCCCATTCTAAAGTTTTCAGCTCTGTTCCAATAAAAATTCCTTTTTGCTACATTTGTAAAATTTTGTTAGATTAGTGTAAACTCCGGTTCATTTCAAGTACCAAACCGACTTTAAATCAGATAGAGCAATCTGTACAGTACAAATCAGATAGAGCACTCTGTACAGTACAAATCAGATAGAGTAATCTGTACAGTAAAAATCAGATAGAGCAATCTGTACAGTACAAATCAGATAGAGCAATCTGTACAGTACAAATGCAGACTGTGTAAGGCAAAACCCTGCTAGCAACAACACATCTCTGTGACTCTAGGCCGGGTCAAGAGTCCCTTAATAGCACCCTTAACTAATCCTGGTTGGTAGGATCATCTACCCTACGCGTTCATAAGTTGTGCTAATACCGGTATTAACAGAAATGCCAGTTTTACTAAGAGCGGTGTTAGCTAATCTACCCGCAGGGTAGATTTAGGTAGGATGATCTACCCTAAATAACCAGTTCTACCAGTATTAATAATAATGTAGTTTTTCCATTTATGAAAGTTGTAAACTTGCAATACAAATGTAATATTTTAATCTCTGCTACAAAATAAATATTTAGATTTAAAAAGATAATAGAAAAGAATGGAGTAAAAAAATTTGATCGATTTCCGCAGAAAGAAAAAACAAGGTTTAACTACGGATTTTTTCTATATTTCAAAATTATATTGTTTTTCCCTCATTTTATTTTATTTTTTTTCAACATAAAACATAAACCCTGCTGCCTGCAAGAAAATGTATATAGTGTTTTGTAACACATGGCAAATCACTTTTGTTTACTCCCCCTGTACTTTTCTTAAATCTCTTATTCTAAGTGTGTGTGTGCATCTGTGTAAAACTTAGCTGTATTTCTATTTTGAAAATAAATAAAAACTCAATACTCCATGAATTCACAATTCTTGCAAACATTTTATCACATTTTTATGGGTTCAGTCACAGGTTTAAATTCCCATGTGACTGTCAGCTAAATTTGAAGTGACCCTTATTTAAATAGTTATTTGTTATATAATTATATCTACCTTGGGTACCCAGCGCTGCTCAGGTTGCTCTAGTTAGTCCCGCCGTTTACAATGCAAAGATTACTTAGCATACAGTATCAAAATTAATGTTTAATTGAAAGAAAATGTCTAAAAATGTGTTTGTATGAGACAAATTATGCATTTAACTCCACGGTTTTTGCAGAAAACATTTAAAAACCCCAAAGTACAATCACAAATACTGACATAACTAGGGCTGGGCGCGTTCCTGGTGGAACGATCGTTCTTTCCCGAGATCGAACGGAACGATCAAGAATACGGAACGGGACGGAACGGAACGAGAACGGAACGATAAAAAGAGGAACGAGAACGGATCGATTTAGCTGAAGGCCCTCGTTCTAGAACGGAACGGAACGATTTCAAAAAAGTCACGTGCCCAGCCCTAGACATAACTACTAAATCAATCAGGTCTCAATCTCGAAAATTGAAAAGTGTATTCTTAATCCTAACATATTAAGGAGCTTTATCTATGAATTAAATGATAATCAAAGAATCCTATTTATTCTTATTTTAAATTGAGCGATCTATTTATCTCCGTCGATTTGGCAGAAGTCACTGAAAACCGGGGAGTTACTTCACAAAACCGAGCATATCTTCTAAACATTTTTTCGGTGTTAAGTACTTTCCCAAAGGCATTTTCCCTAGGGGGACTTTCCAAGTGACAATTTCCTAAGTGACAACTTCCCAAAAGTGCAATTTCCCAAGCGGCAACTTCCCAAAGGTTAGATCAGGCTGAGGGCACATTTGGGAAGTTGCCACTTGAGAAAAATCCTTTGGGAAATTACCTAACATCGTATTTTAACATATAAAAGTATTTTGTGTGAATTTAAAAAAAAGTAAACGACGTATTTTTGTGAGAATCAAGCTTTTTATTGGAAAATATCAACCACTAAAATTAATTGTATCAATTATTTTCTGAACAACCAAATAAAGCCTTCTTCATCACCTAGTTAAAATAAGGTCGATATCTCAAAAGGCAAAAAAGTTATGAATTTGGAATGAGCAACCTTTTTATAGAGGTCAAAACTTCATAACCTCCGTGCTCCGCACACGGAGGTCTACAGAGTCTAAAATTTAATGATTATATTGACTGACCCAAGGTCTCTGGACCAAAAAAAATATCAGCAACGATAAAAAAGTTTTAAGAAACTCTAAACTTTGCATTATCATTTATTAAACATTCTTCGGGTTTTACACAGGGTTATACATACATATAGAGAATGATGGTGGCTGATGGTTATCTGAAAAGGAATTGAAAACTCGCAACAATTTCTAAATTTAAAATCCTAATTCTTTGAATTAGACCTTTGATATTTTAAACAGTAGAATATATCAAAGGTTTTCACTATCAGGTTGCTAAAATATAGCGATTAGAAAATTTGAGTTTGTGGCAAAGACTTAATTCCTTTATTGTCTTCTGTAACCAAGTACACTGTACACAGTTCTGTACAGTACAGACATTAAAACAAGAAATACATTAGGAATCCTCTAAAATGCAATTTCTGGAAGAAATTTAAATACTAAAAGTGTACAGTACTTAAATTATGCAAATTTCTCCCAAAAACTGCACTACACTATTGTGTAAAAAAAAATCATGGTTCCTGGTATATCTGTCTTAGTATTCAGTTGGTGCCTGGTAACATAATAGTTATCTTATTCGCCGCAATCGATATGTTTTCCTTAAATCTAATTTGGGTTGGTTTGTATATTCTTAAAAGTCCTTTGGAAAATATTTAAATAATTTGTGGTTGGTATCCAGTGAGATCTATAAAAACTGTGGAATAGGTCGACAACATTGAAGCAATCTTATGTGTATTTGATGGTGTTATAATGCGAATAGTTTTACCAGTAGTGGAAATCAACTTCTTTAGGTGAACAACACAATTGCTGAGTTTCATGTTTATAACCTGCTTCAGCTAGATCATAGCTATCGTCTTTCTATTCCATAATTTTATGGGTTTCATTGTAATTAAAGTTTTTTTAGAAATTGATAGATCTTGTGTGTATATCAAAGATCTTTGTTTAATATAAACTGGGCCATTATAGCTGGCTGTTGAGTATAAAATCTGTCATTTATAGATGGCTTTTGAGTATAAAATCGGTCATTTATAGATGGCTTTTGAGTATAAAATCGGTCATTTATAGATGGCTGTTGAGTATAAAATCGGTCATTTATAGATGGCTGTTGAGTATAAAATCGGTCATTTATAGATGGCTGTTGAGTATAAAATCGGTCATTTATAGATGGCTTTTGAGTATAAAATCGGTCATTTATAGATGGCTGTTGAGTATAAAATCGGTCATTTATAGATGGCTTTTGAGTATAAAATCGGTCATTTATAGATGCCTGTTGAGTATAAAATCGGTCATTTATAGATGGCTGTTGAGTATAAAATCGGTCATTTATAGATGGCTGTTGAGTATAAAATCGGTCATTTATAGCTGGCTGTTGAGTATATAATCGGTCGCTGTTAGATGATTGGTATCATAAGCGGATCTTTTAATAATAGTAGAAAAGTCTTTGGTTTGTGTCATATTATCAGAAAGTAGTTCTGGATTATTAGGCATTTGGTTTTAACTTAAACTATTTAAGATTCTATATTTTTTTTTCATTATTTATTTGGTTGTATTAATATAGTCTTATTGCCTGTATTTAAAGTTAGGTTTTAATAAGACAGGTTTTGGATGTCAATAGTAGATGTTAAATAAGTCTTTGTCATAGGTCTTTGGTCTTAGATAGAACAGTGAAACAGCATGGTTAGAGATTCTTTTTACATTTAATTAAACTTATAAAAATCTTTATAAAATATATTCTGAACTCATATACGTATATATGCACACATATTTGTATACTGCAGAGCTTTGAATTATATAAAAGAGAAGTTGACGGGAGGAGGATGTGACATAAGATCTGATAATTAAAACTTTCATTTAGTTACATTCATCTCATAAAGTTTTCTACGTTACACATTTACATTTGTAGTTTAATACTTAGAAGCAGAGTAAACCGGTTTTATGAGGGCTCAAGTACAGAAAAAGCACAGCCTTGCTCAACAAAGAAATTCCTGAAAAATAGATATTTTAAAAAGTTATTCATCAAAAACACTAATTTTTCCTGGGTTTTACTCTGCTGCATTGTTTAATAAAAAATCTGTTTTTATTACTATTCAATATTACTCTTTTTCATTATTTAATAACGATTAAGCAGCATTATTGGTTTCTTCAGCAGCTACTAATGCGTAGCTTATCCACAACAAACACTTTGAATTCATATCATTAAATTGTCAATAAATATTTAATTATTTTCTATTTCAATGAGTTTTGAATCTTGATTGGCTAAGCTTTTAATCATCCGGGCTTTTAAAAGTTTCGGGCTCGGGTTCAACAGATCGACCATTTTCATTTAGATAATTTGTGAATACTTAGTGTTTTTGGACATCTTCTTGTGCAGTAAAAGTGTCTATTTTGATGGCTGATGCAAAAATATAATATCAAAACGTGATCTCCCTACTTTTATAGTTTTGTCGTAGTAAATGGACTGAACACAACTCCTACTCTTCAGCATATATGAAGGTCTAGGTATAGAATTGGAGAATACCTGAGTTAACACAACTCCTACTCTTCAGCATATATGAGGGTCTGAGTATAGAATTGGAGAATACCTGAGTTAACACAACTCCTACTCTTCAGCATGTATGAGGGTCTGAGTATAGAATTGGAGAATACCTGATTTAGCACAACTTCTACTCTTCAGCATATATGAGGGTCTGAGTATAGAATTGGAGTATACCTGAGTTAACACTACTCCTACTCTCCAGCATATATGAGGCTGTGAGTATTGAGAATACCCGAGTTAGCACTACTCCTACTCTCCAGCATATATGAGGCTCTGAGTATTGAGTATATCTGAGTTAACACTACTCCTACTCTCCAGCATATATTAGGGTCTGAGTATTGAGTATACCTGAGTTAGCACTACTCCTACTCTCCAGCATATATGAGGGTCTGAGTTAGTATACCTGAGTTAGCACTACTCCTACTCTCCAGCATATATGAGGGTCTGAGTATTGAGTATACGTGAGTTAGCACTACTCCTACTCTCCAGCATATATGAGGGTCTGCGTATTGAGTATACGTGAGTTAGCACTACTCCTACTCTCCAGCATATATGAGGGTCTGAGTATTGAGTATACCTGAGTTAGCACTACTCCTACTCTCCAACATGTATGAGGGTCTACCCTGAAGTTGGATGCTAGCTGTTGCTGATTTCCAGTACGCTTCACCTTCAAAGGGGAAACGATTTAAAGAAATAGATTTTTTCTAATTTTAGATTTTTATTTCAGTCAATTTATAAAATTAATAATTAAATTGAATTTCAGTGACAAATATGAAAATTTAGGCCTTCAAAAGTATGCTCCCAAAAATGTCTTAATTTTTGTACCAAATACATACCTATCTTTGCATTGCATTTAACTTCAATAATCCCATTTCTAACATAGTGAGAATCCTGGATGATGAAACTCATACTCCTTAGGGATTAAAAGAATACAGTTCTAGGATCCAATTAATGATTCAAGGATCAAATGTATGCATAACATGCATTGGGTCTGTTTGATTAAAAAAGATTTCATAAGTTAAATGATTGAGGTTTTTCCGCAAAAAGTTTAACGAGTAAATAATCACATAATACATAGGTTCAGCTAATAAGGCTCAAAATTAAACCGGTCCATTTTTGTAAACAATATTCCAGAGAAAAGTTTAATTCACATACAGTGGTCGGCGTTTATGTCAATACGGTGAAGACGACTTTTTATTTTAGCTTTGTTTTCTATCAAGATTTTTTCAAATTTCAGAGAGAAGCTGTTAATTGACTTTGTTTACATGTTATATGTGTATCCATGCTGTTTTTACGCTTGGTAAAAATTAAAACTTGAAATTAAAAGTCGTCTTTATTGTGTTAGTTTATACGACGAGGACTGTAGAGTTCTTTGTTGAACCGTCAACAATAATATTTAAAAACAACCATTTTTTTAGAAATCTGCTTTAAAGCATTTAGAGTTCATGGGAGAAAATTTAAAGGTTCCTGAAAGCTGGTTGGATCAGAAAAAGAGAAAAATTGTTCTTTAAAAATGTATGCTTTGTTTTCCTAAATGAGGATTCCAGTTTCCCGTCATCCTCGGTTATAATCTCCTCCCTACTCATTCTATCCTCAGGAACCTATTTAATGCAAAGCTTTATATGGACTGCCCGGTCCTCAGGAACCTATTTAATGCATAGCTTTATATGGACTGCCCGCTCCTCAGGAACCTATTTAATGCATAGCGTTATATGGACTGCCCGCAAAATTGGAACAATAATACTCTTATTTCATGATGGAAATATGATTTTACTTAAATAAATAAATATTTGTTCAATAAAATGAAATTGCGAACTGTAAGTCTTAAGAAATTTTGCAACGAGAAATAAAGGATAAAGTTACTATTTCAAACATCTATCTATTTACATACAATACATCACAGATTTGCATCACTAAATTTATGAACAATAGTTAATTCAACTTCATTGTAAATCTTTGGTTCATGAATCTTTGGTTCATCTTTACTACGAATAGATCTTCACCACGGAGTACTAGATCTACGGATTACGGAGACTGGTTAAAGGGCCTGAGATTGGAACTTATGTCTGGATATTGTTAATCTTTGCGCTTTATCTCGATATTAAGTAAGGGCACTTTTAAATTTTATGATCAATGCTTAAACTTTCAATTAAAATTAACCATGCATGGTATGACTTTAACCACGGGATATCAAAGAGCAATCAAATTAATCTGTCTGCATAAATACTTGATCGAGATTCGCAATACAAGAGTGTCCTAACTGCTGAAAGTTTACAATAAAACTAGTTTCTATGTTCTCCTATTACGTCACTGTAAAAATTTAAATAAACGTATTTTCCTCTTTGCACTATAACAAATACTATTCTCCTTAGGCTATTGCACAGACTGAATTATAAAGACTGCAAATCGGCTCTTGGGCTGGGCTAAGTAGGCCTTTATTCGTACCGGCACGACATGATATGTATCTACCACATGTACCACACTCCCATCTAACCACCACTTGAGGTATATAATCTCCCTTCAGGGGTTAACTGTGACAATTTTTTATAAAACATAACATAAAACATAAAATGAATGTTCAGTTATTTTTGGAGTTTTTGTATCTTGTTTGTACCCTTAGAGCCCAAAACTTAAGACAGGGTATTGTTCTGAAAACCAGTTTTAAAACCCGGGTTTCAAAAATGGGGTCAAGCAGTTTTATGAAAATCAATATTATTTTATTTAGTTTGTTTATGTTTTTAATTTTTTTTCGAATCTCTTAAATCAAAATCTAAACAAATGGTAAGACCCCAAAAAGGAAACCCGGGAATTATTTCAATGATACTCTTTTAAATTTCGGGCTCAGCAGATAGATGTGTACTCCAGTTGTACACAATGCAATGGAAAATATCGCATATTTTAGCCGATAATCGATCTCTGTAACTCTCTTATCTCTGGTTAAACCTGTGTTCGTTATCCTTGCTGGATTTAATTTTAGAAAAGAGAAATATTATATAAAGTAATTAGTGGAAGGAGAAAAATAAAATATAATTAATTGATTAGGGGGTAAAATAATTAATTATCTTGTGCAGAAGCTAAACTGCGAAGAAAATCATTATTTTTAGAGAAATCTTGAAAATGTTTATAATTAATAGTTTCAGAATCTTCAGGTAAAGTAGAAATTGAAAAATATTTTTTTACAGAATAAATTTACCCTTTCTCCATTAATAAAAAAAGAAAGCTGAGCTGCTGGTTTACTTCTATCCGAAGAACATCTAAAATAAATTTAATATTAAATTATAAACTTCTTACTTTAAAACCTTCCATGAAATTTTGAAAAGAAATTATAGTAAAATTTGTTTCCGGAAATCATTTAGAAAACTCGAGTTTCAAGTAAAACTTATTTTATTTATATTCAAGACTCAGCTCTCACGACTCTATAGGAATCCTGAATCCAAGGACTTTTTATGGCTTTATAGGACTCCTGAAACCAAGGACTTTTTAGGGCTTTATAGGACTCCTGAATCCAAGGACTATTTAGGGCTTTATAGGACTCCTGAATCCAAGTAATTTTTAGGGCTTTATAGGATTCCTGAATCCAAGTACTTTTTAGAGCTTTATAGAACTCCTGAATCCAAGGACTTTTTAGAGCTTTATAGGACTCCTGAATCCAAGTACTTTTTAGGGCTTTATAGGACTCCAGAATCCATGGGCTTTTTAGGATTCTATAGGGCTCCAGAATCCAAGGGCTGTTTAGGATTCTATTGGACTCCAGAATCCAAGGACTCTTTAGGATTCTATAGGACTCCAGAATCCAAGGGCTTTTTAGGATTCTATAGGACTCTATAATCCAAGGACTTTTAAGGATTCTATAGGACTCCAGAATTCTAGTACTTTGTATGGCTTTTTGGACTCCAAAATACAAGGACCCTTTAGGATTTTATTGGACTCCAGAATCCAAGTACAATCTATAGACTTTATAGGATTCCTTAACACAAGTACTCTTTATGACTCTATAGGACTCTAGAATACAAGTACTTTTAGGACTCAATAGGACTCCAGAATCCAAGTACTCTTTAGAAATCTATAGGACTCATGAACACAAGTACTTTTTAGAACTCTATAGGACTCCAGAATACAAGTACTTTTTAGGACTCTATACTGGGAATCCTGAATCCAGTTATTTTTTTTAATTCCTGATTGCCAGGGGTCTATGCATCTATTGAGCTCCAGAATCCAAGGACTTTATATGACTCCATAATCAAAGGACTTTTAGGACCACATAATACAAGGACTTTACGGAATACTTGAGTCCAAGGAATCTACAGGACTCCAATATCGAAAGACTCCACTCCAGAAATTGGACTCCAAGGACTTTCATGGATTTCATAACCTCCAAGGACTCTACAAGACTCCGAATCAATTGTTCTAGTTATTACTTAAAGGAATGTAGTTGTAGTGGGTGATTTATAATATGGACTAAAGGACTTTATAACTTAAGTTGTTTGAAACTCATGACTCCAAGACTCATGCTCCTCATGCACCAGGTTTCCAGCCCGAAAAGCTCGTCTTACCTGAGATTGATTTCCTGTCCAATTGTTCCAACTGTAGGTTTAGCAATCATAATAGGACTTCCTTCCTCAGGACGAACTAACAGAAGAAAATTAATAAAATACAGAGATTGAAAATGTTGGTCTTTTACTAACTATTGCTCTATACGATTTATACAGAGTCCGAATTTTATGAATCCGAGTCGCATCTAAAATCCGCCAAAAAACGATTTCAATAGAGCGTCGACTTAAATCTTGAAACCTTGAATACAATTTTAAGTGCAACCAACCATATTTGAGCCGCATCTTAAATTTAAGCCACGGCTCAAATTCTTTAAATTCGGCCTCTGGTCCTCAAAAAGTCTTTATAATATTATCCGGACTAAAATGTTGGTTAATTTCATGTTCTGGAGTTAAATAGTGGTCCTAAAATAAGTCATTATATGCTCTGAACTGAAATGTTGGTCCTAAACTAAATCATTATATGCTCTGAACTGAAGTGTTGGTTCTAAAATAAGTCATTATATCCTCTGAATTGACATGTTGGTCCTAAAATAAGTCATTATATGCTCTGAACTGAAATGTTGGTCCTAAAATAAGTCAGTATATGCTCTGAACTGAAATTTTGGTCCTAAAATAAGTCAATATATGCTCTGAACTGAAATGTTGGTTCTAAACTAAGTCATTTTATGCTCTGAACTGAAATGTTTGTCCTAAAATAAGTCATTATATGCTCTGAAGTGAAATGTTGGTCCTAAAATAAGTCATTTTATGCTCTGAACTGAAATTTTTGTCCTAAAATAAGTCATTATATGCTCTGAACTGAAATGTTGGTTCTAAAATAAGTCATTATATCTCTGAACTGAAATGTTGGTCCTAAAATAAGTCATTATATGCTCTGAACTGAAATGTTGGTTCTGAAATAAGATTTTGCAGCCATGAACTGAAATGCCTGTATGAGAATATCTTGTAAAACTTTATTATACATAATACTCATTTATGGAATTTGAACAGTATTACGACAAACTTAACCAAATCCTTCCATATTGCAACAAAGAGACAAGATAGATACTTAAATCGAGTTTCTTAAATATTTTAACATAATATTTTAGCTAAAAACTTGCTACTGGATAAAATGGAACGAAATGCTTTTGTGAATATTATTCTTAAAATAAATTATAGAAAAAAATATTTACTCGAAAAATTAGAAATTTTATACAAGTTTTTGAAAAATAAGCAACGAGGTTATAGTATATAGAGTGATGATGTAGGCTAATCCTTTACTAATTGTACAGGTCATGTACTTAACTTCCAAAGGTTAATCTGCATATTGCAGTACTAGGGGCCAGGGGGTGATTTCTGAAAATATTTTCATGGATGATTTGCTGTCAATGTAACTATCAAAATCCACTACTCCTTTACTGTGTGCAGGATTATATTTTACAGGAAGAAGTACTATTATAGTCTTAGCAATATATTATCGTTAATGAACGGTTCTGAGAAAACTGAGTTAAATTCAAGATACATACACATGTACTCAGAAAGCGTTCTGCATTCAATGCATATTTGATATTTGTACTGCATGAATAGGCTATAATCTCTTAATATCCTTTATCAGTAAACTATTCTACACTCAGGATAATACACGGACAGGTGGCTAAGATCCAGCCTCCCTGAAATTAAGCCATACCATTCTTTGAAAAGGAAATACCAAAGAATCAGATACTGTCCCATTAATAAGATATAATAAAGTTCCTTTCATTCTATTTACATGAATCTTGAAGAAAATATACTGAATAGCCTGCATTAGCATATAAAAATATAGTCTAGGTATATATATTATATATTATATATAATATATTTGTACAGAGCTAGAAGGATGGAATTGGAAGGATTTACCAAATGTCAGATTGTCGGACTCCCATTTTCTACTAAACAATTATTTTCTCCCAGACTTACTTCAATTCTTTATTTACAATTTCCTACTCACAACTCACCAGAACTGAAAAGGAGAAACTTAAACTTTTTAATTTGGAATTTTCAAATTTAGTAAAATCTTTAATCTTATTTTAAGTGGAATTAAATCCGAAGAAGCATCATGGAATATGATTAAATAATGTTTTCCAAAATCTCTGAGAAACGTAGGTGAATAAAAGCAATGATAAATTTGAAATAAATGATAAATAAAAATGATAAAGATAAAGTGTTCTCCATAAAATTATGAAAGTGTTTCGTCCTCTTCATTTCTTGTATCCATGTTATTTGTAAATTGTACTTTGTAAATTTTAAGTTTTTACAAAGGAATTGAGTTTTTGCCACAAACTCTGATTGCCTAACCCCTATATCTTTTCAAACACATGGCTATAGACATTTTAACTACAAATTTAACACTTTTAAACCTAGAAAACTGATAATATCTCCCACATTTTTGATCAGTTAAAGGTTTCAAGGGCACAGTTCTAAATCGGGATTTGCCGTCTTTGCATGGAGGGTCGTTTAAAGTTACACTAACGGTCCATTTAAGCTAAGCCTCTCAGAGCTGAGCATCATTAATACAAAAATAATTCAAAAAATCACTTACTGATAACATTAAGGTCCTTGTCTATCTGTTCTGTGTGGAAAGGAGCTTGTGCTTCAGTTATCTGACATCTACCAAAGTAAATCATGGATCAATTGATATGTACATTGTGTACGTACTGTATTTACTGAATGTATGTCCTTATGTTGTGCTGTAAAACTGTATGCACACTGTGTACTGTATTTTCTGAATGTATGTCCTATATGTTGTGCTGTAAAACTGTATGTACTAAATGTATTGTATTTACTGAATGTATGTCCTATATGTTGTGCTTAAATGTATTGTATTTACTGAATGTATGTCCTATATGTTGTGCTTCAAAACTGTATGTACATTGTGTACTGTATTAACTGAATGTATGTCCTATATGTTGTGCTGTAAAACTGTATGTACTAAATGTATTGTATTCACTGAATGTATGTCCTATTTGTTGTGCTGTAAACTGTATGTACTAAATGTACTGTTTTAACTCAATGTATGTCCTATATCTTGTGTTGTAAAACTGTATGTATTAAATGTATTGTATTTACTGAATGTGTGTCCTATATGTTGTGCTGTAAAACTGTATGTACTAAATGTATCATATGTACTAAATGTATCATATGTACTAAATGTACTGTAGGAACTAAATGTAAAGTATTTACTGTATGTATTGCATGTACTGTATGTACTGTATGTACTGTATGTAATGCATGCACTGTATGTACTGTATGTACTGTATTTTTTAATGTATGTACTGTATGTACTGAATGTACTGTATTTTACTGAATGTACTGTATTTTACTGTATGTACTGTATGTACTGTATGTACTGTATGTAATGCATGTACTGTATGTACTGTATGTACAGTATGTCATATATGTATGATATGTACTGTATGTAATGTATTAACTGTATGTTCTGTATATACTGTTTGTACTGTATGTACTGTATATACTGCATGCACTGTATGTACTGTATTTACTGTATGCACTGTATGTACTGTATGTACTGTATGTACTGTACGTACTGTATGTACTGTAAGTACTGTAAATACTTTATGTACTGTATGCAGTGAATGTACTTTATGTACTGTATGTACTGTATATACTGTATGTAATTATATACACTGTATGCACTATATGAACTGTGTGTACTTATTGTGTACTGTATGCACTGTATGTACTGTGTGTACTGTATACACTGTATGTACTGTGTGTACTGTATGAACTCTATATACCTATATGTCCCTGTTGATGCTATGCCAGTATGATGTAAAGCCATCCTATGCTCCCCACTACCAGGATTTAGAATAAACTCCGTAGAACTGTTATCAATCTATAGGATCAAATAATTAACAAATCAAATCGTTTTTTTAACATAGATATTGGGCTTCTACATAATAAGAAGAATAATATTGATTTTGATAATATTCATCAAAGAAAGTGTCAATTTTTTTCAAAATTTGAAAAAATCTTTTAAAACCACTTTATTAATTTTTATAATTTAATTAAAAGTTTTTGAAAATAAAATATAAGAAAATTTATGTTTCAAACTTAAATTCTAAATCATCAAATAAAAGGGCTTTAAAGGGATTAGAAATAAAGGTTAATAAAAGTAATCCAATCTTGTTTCATCTTTTCGTTTCATGGTTTACATTTGGAACTGGAAATTTAGAGCATTGTTTACGAAAACTAGAATGTCTGAGAATTATATACGAAAATCAGAAAATATTAGCTTTTTAGTTGAAAACTAGAAATTTGGAACGTTTTATAGTAGTAACTAGAAATTTTGAGCATTATATTTGGAAACTGGAAATTTTGAGCATTATATTCGGAAACTGGAAATTTTGAGCCTTTTATTCGGAAACTGGAAATTTTGAGCACTATGTTCGGAAACTGGAAATTTTGAGCATTTTATTTGGAAACTGGAAATTTTGAGCACTATGTTCGGAAACTGGAAATTTTGAGCATTATATTCGGAAACTGGAAATTTTGAGCATTATATTCGGAAACTGGAAATTTTGAGCATTATATTTGGAAACTGGAAATTTTGAGCATTATATTCGGAAACTGGAAATTTTGAGCATTATATTCGGAAACTGGAAATTTTGAGCATTATATTCGGAAACTGGAAATTTTGAGCATTTTATTCGGAAACTGGAAATTTTGAGCACTATGTTCGGAAACTGGAAATTTTGAGCATTATATTCGGAAACTGGAAATTTTGAGCACTATATTCGGAAACTGGAAATTTTGAGCATTATATTCGGAAAATAGAAACTTGGATCGCTATGTTCGAGAAGTAGAAATTTAGAGGGTAATATTCGAGAAACTAGAAATGTCGAGCAATATATTAGAACACTAGAAATTTTGAGCATTTCATCTTAAAAAAAAAGAAATTTTGAGCATTATATTCGGAAACAATTAATTTCGAGCATTATATTCAGAAGATGGAAATTTTGAGCATTATATATTCAAAAACTAGAGACTTCTAGCCTTATGTTTGAACACTAGAAATTTCTAGCAATATAATCAGAAACTAGAAATTTATTGCGTTATATTCAAAAGCTAGAAATATCAAGCGTTATATTCGGAAACTTGAAATTTCTAACCTTATATTTGGAAACTGGAAAAAAAGGAATTTTGAGCATTATATTCGGAAACTAGAAATTCCGAGCATTATTTTTGGAAACTAAGAAATTCTGAGCGCTAAAAATTGGAAACTAAAAATTCTGAGTTTCGAAATTGTAAATATGTTTTAAGATTGGAAACTACTGGGCAATTTAAGAGAAGCAACTGAAAATACAGAAAAACATCAGCTCTGAAATACAATTAAGTATTAAGAATATATAAAAATATCAGCTCTGAAATGCAATAAAGTATTAGAAATATTTAAAAATATCAGCTCTGAAATACAATAAAATATTAAGAATACATAAACATAACAGCTCTGAAATACAATAAAATATTAAGAATATTAAAAACTGTATTTCTTTTTTTATTTACGAATCTTGCATTGTACAATATCTAAATTAAATATTTTATCAGGAGTGAAATAATTCAAGCTGATTTTTAGCTTTAAGGTCATATTTAAAGGTTGAGATATAAATAGAGGAACAAGAAGCAATCTCTGTAAACCAACAAAAGATCGGAATAAAAACTTTGTTTACCTTAAAACCAGGCAGGTTGAAATATTAATTTGTTTACCTTAACACCAGGCAGTCTGAAATATAGTTAATTTGTTTACCTTAACACCAGGCAGGCTGAAATATAGTTGATTTGTTTACCTTAACACCAGGCAGGCTGAAATATAGTTGATTTGTTTACCTTAACACTTGGCAGGCTGAAATATAGTTGATTTGTTTACCTTAACACCAGGCAGGTTGAAATATAGTTGATTTGTTTACCTTAACACCAGGCAGGCTGAAATATAGTTGATTTGTTTACCTTAACACTTGGCAGGCTGAAATATAGTTGATTTGTTTACCTTAACACCAGGCAGGTTGAAATATAGTTGATTTGTTTACCTTAACACCAGGCAGGTTGAAATATTTTTTTCGTTCCAAAGCTGGGCCTAGTTTCACACATTATACACTGTTTTTTGTGGAAATATGATTCAAGAATCCATAATTGTTTCTTTCTAATTAAATGACCCTTTGAACTTTTTTTTTATAATATAGAATAAACTTATACCTACACCACGATTCTTAGTTTAAAGGTTGAAAGACGAAAAGCTAAAAAGGAGTTTGATAATTCATTGCATTATTGCAGTTTAGAATTTATCATATTTGATAAATTCATATTTGAATTTTTCTTTTTAAATAACTGAACATTTACGACATTTTCTAATTTAGGGAAATAAAAATAAAATTTATCTTAAATTTGAAGATATTTTAAAAACAATCTTAAAAACGTTGAAAAGGAATGAGTACAAGAAATAACATAGTTCCTAATATATTTCTACAAAATATTGATACTTTGCAGAAACGTATGAAGTAAATGGCCCCCCCCCCCCCCAACAAAACCCTCTTTGTTAAAACAATTTGTTGTGAATAAGATTTTATGGAATTTTAAAGCTCTACCAGGAAACTTTTTCGTGTTGGAATTTGCAAGATAAATAAATAGTTTCTCTGCATATTTACTGCAGAAACCCATAATGCTGCAATTTGCACAGATTTTGCATACATTTCTCTTTTACAATTTTGCAGGTGCATTGTTAAAAGAAATTATGAACAAAATTTTATATCCCTAACCTGCTGTTACTTATTTCGGACAAAATGTTCGCTATTTAAAAATGTTTTTTTTTATTTTACGAATATTATGCTAGGAATTATTTCTGACAATGTGGGCGGGGTCGGGGGTCAAATAAAACTTTTAATCTTAACAAATAATCTATTTATTTTAAGTTTCCAAATCGGTTAAATTCTATCCAACATGATATTAGAAGCTGTTAGATTAGAAAAATGTTATTTGTAAAGTATGGTTTGTCTTCCTAAATTAATGTTGGAAGTAATTAAATTCTTTTCTCCCCCTCAGCCTGTCTCATGTCAGCAGAATATTTGGTTTAAATTGAAAATGTTTCTCCAGTGTAAATTTACTCTTTTTTAATGTAAAAATATTCTAAACATTAGCATCCTCCACCCCCCCCCTCCCCCCCCCCTTCTGCATGCTGTATGCTTCTAAACATTAGCATCCTCCTCCCCCCCTTCTGCATGCTGTATGCTTCTAAACATTAGCATCCTCCTCCCCCCCTTCTGCATGCTGTATGCTTCTAAACATTAGCATCCTCCTCCCCCCCTTCTGCATGCTGTATGCTTCTAAACATTAGCATCCTCCTCCCCCCCTTCTGCATGCTGTATGCTTCTAAACTTTAGCATCCTCCTCCCCCCCTTCTGCATGCTGTATGCTTCTAAACTTTAGCATCCTCCTCCCCCCCTTCTGCATGCTGTATGCTTCTAAACATTAGCATCCTCCTCCCCCCCCCCTTCTGCATTCTGTATGCTTCTAAACATCCCTACTATTCCAAATTCCTCTTCTTCACTTTCTTTCATTTTCTCTTTGTTACTAATTCTTATATATTCTTGGGTCTCATTTTCATTTTCATTTTCCCCAAGATCCATCCCTTTTCTTGTCTTTTTTCATCTTCTTTCTTCTTTTTTTTCCATCTTTCTTCATCTTTCTTCTGCTTCTTTTTGCGATTTTCTTCTTTTCCCTTTTCAGGCTTTTCTTTTTCTTTTTTACTCCCCGTAATGAGACCTAACTTCAATTTGGCATTTTCTAATTTATTCATTTTCTTTTTTTTCTTCTTTTCCGATCATTCTTTTCAATCCCAGTCTTCTTTCCTGACACCGGAAACTTTTTGGAATTGTTGACTAAAGGGTGATTTCGTGAAAAATTATAAAGGGTATAGGATTATTCCGAATTGAATTCGATATAGATCACTCTAATTTTACTTCTCTGGTGCGTGAGTTGCGTATATAAGGAGAAAAAAGTTTAAAACAACTCATACCGAAGAGCGTAGGACCATAGATAAATAAATAAAATAGGACCCATACATACACATTTACAGAGGAGCATTATTTTACGCAGACTGTAGATTATTAAATTAATAATCCTTAAGATATTGAAAGATAATATTGTCGAATTTAACTCGGGGCGTTCCTATGTAGTTTAAAAAGCATAATCTTTTTAATTTTTTCATTTACGATGTACTTTTGAGGACGATTTTTTGGCCGCTAGGTGTCTCCCCCAATTAAAATTCCTTTCAATTTTGCGAACACTTTCTTTAACATTTTGTATGCATATTCATTTTCACTGTTTAGTTCTAGCAATTTTTTTTTCTTTCTTTAATCTCCGGCTTCGTACCGTACATTATTGGTGTACACTGCAGTACATATTTGAGTAAATGTGCCTGAAGGATGAAGTCTGTAGAACTCCTGTGCATCTTTATACCACTTCACACTATCTAACTAAAAGTACAAAAATACAGTGACTCGCTGAAAAAAAAACCCGATTTTGAATGACTCTTTGCGGTTCTAGCAGAGGGGGTCTAAATCTATGATAAATATAGGCGGAAAAAGGGTCCAAGACCTCCCCCCCCCCTCCCCCTCATCTCTCTGCACAAGACAAACGTAGGTCACACAACTCTTTTCAATGGCATTTTTACGAATTGCTAAAATTTTTAATGATAATTTTGCAAGTATAAAGCTGTAAACAAGGTTTATTCTTATTTTTAAATATAAACCATAATAACTAGATTTAATACCTTTTGATTTGGTCTGACAGTAAATCTGCAAATCATAGTTACAGACTGTCCCAGGGTTATATCATTGGGAAATTCCAAACCTAGAAATATATTCAGTTCAATCATATAAAAAGAGACTGTCCACTAATTTAATGTGTTTATAGGACAGATTAAAAGTTTTATTTAAAATTTGGAAATATTTTGCTAGCGCAAACTTATCTCTATCTCTAAATTGTCTTGTCTATGGAGTGTCATGTATATAAAATGTCATGTCCCTTAAAGGTCCTGTCTATGAAATGTTCTGTATATAAAATGTCCTGTCTATAAAATGTCCTGTTTTGAAATGTTCTGTCTATAGACATTTTCTGTCTATAAAATGCTCTGTCTATGAAATGTCCTGTGTATGAAATGTCCTGTCTATGAAATGTCCTGTTTTGAAATGTCATGTATATGAAATGTTCTGTCTATGAAATGTTCTGTCCATGAAATGTTCTGTCTATGAAATGTTCTGTCTATGAAATGTTCTGTCTATGAAATGCTCTATCTCTGAAATGTTCTGTCTATGAAATGTTTTGTCTATGAAATTGTCTTTATTGTTCTGTCCATGAAATTTACCGTCCTGTCTATGAAATGTCCCGTATTTGAAATTTTATTTGTCCTGTAAATGAAATGTCATGTCCATGAACTATAAAATCTAGTCTCTCTTTAGGTAAAGGTTTAGCGGTGGTATAAACCAGTGTTTGTTATTTTTATTTAATTGTTAAAGTACTTTAAATTACGTTTAATTGATTCAAAATTATCAATTTTTAACTGATTAATTTAGATTCTGGTCTTAAATTAACATATTTCAAAAGTCCTAGAAAATGGAGTTACAGTCATGTATTGTAGTATTGTATGCTAAAAAAATTAAAAATACTTTTTAAAACATTTTTCTTCCCCTTAATAATCTACAAATAAGATGTCTTTCTAGTTCAGTGTCATTTTAACCTACTAATAAAATGTCTAGCGTACTTTAATACATTTTTCAGTCTAATTCTATGTAATTACTATAAAAAAGAATGTGAAAGTATCCTGAAAATTAAAATAAATAAATTAGAAATAAAAATATTCACAGTATGTTAATTTAATGTTGTTAACATGATTTAATGAAAAATACCCCCGGTAGTATACAGTACAGTGTAAATTTAAAAAATCATTAAATAATTCTTTTAAAAGTTAAGTTAACCGTTGTTGTACAACTAACCTGTAATAGTTAGAGAATTAAAAGTTTGAATTTGAAGTGTAAACCATACCAGCAGCATCCATCCACCAAACATTATTTAATTTTATCTGGAAATCCTCGAGTTTTATCTTTAATTCTTTAGAATAGTATTATAGAGCATAAAGGGTTAATACATGGGGGCCCAAAAGGTTTTTAAATGGATTTACAATGGTTCTTTCACGTTCATCTGAGCAACAATGAAAAAAATAAAGCTGCTTTTGTATCCGGAAAAGTGTCAAATGCTTCTTTCTCAACGAACTAATACAATTTTAAGAAACAAAAAGAGAAATAACTCAATCATTGCTCAAAGAGCATTGTTATGAATCGAACATTTAAAATTACGTGTATTGTTCCTTTAGAGTTCCTGTATCTGGTTTTAGAAGGATGTTATCTTGTTGCTGGTTTTCATTTTATTCTCTTCTCCTGCACTGTCTTGGAGTTTCTATTATTCCGCACTGTTCCGACATAAATTTTCATAATTTCGCAATTCTGTATTCAAACCCGGGGGATATTTTATGATATGGGAATTCTTTATCTTCCTTAAACAAGGAACACGATATCAAATCAAATTGTTAAGTTTAAAATTCCAGTGATTCTTTAGCTTTAGAATATTGTAATTTTATTTTATTATGTGTTCCGAAAATGTGTATACTTTAAAGGAAATGGAAAATACCTGTAAAAGGAGCTCAAAAGAATGGAACAGAAAGTACGGAGAGAAAACGGGAAAGGAAATGGAAAGGAAAGTATGAGCAGAAATGGTTATGAACGGGAAAGAAACGGAAAAGAGCAAAAAGAAAAGGAAAGACCCAAAAAATGGAATATAATTTGTTCAAAAAATACCTGTAGATGAAAAGCAAGGAACCCAACAGAATTGAAAGGAACGGTAAAGGTGAATTTGGGAAACATAGAAAGCTAAAATAATTGGAAAGCTTCACATATATTATAGTTTCTGGGGGGAATGTAAACAACCCCAACGGTAACCAGGCTGAGTTTTGTTTGTATTTTTTCAAGAAATTGCAGTACACTTGTTTTGTAAACAAAGATACGGAAATTCCTGAATTATCTTCCTTGCTCCGGGTCCTGGACTGCGCTAAGGGTCGGAGAATGGAGAAGAGAAGAGAAGAAGTGGGTTCAAGAATCATATATCATTACAAAACATCTGCAACGTATTTAAACCGGTAATTCAGAGATATATTTGAATTTTAAAATATTTTCTTTTTCATGAATTCTTCTAGGTTACAAAACATCATGAATGCATTGCTATTATTACATTTATTAGAGATAAAGATAAAGATTATTCTATTTTTGCAGAAAAAAAAACGAAAATGTTTGAAGAGCTTGTGTGTAGGTGTAAAGCTATGTTTTAACAGATAAAAGAGTAGATTAAACTCTAAACAGTGAAGATGGTGAACTTTCTAGAGTTTCCAATTTGTGTTGATGTTATTGAATTTACTTTTACGAGAACATGGAAACTCTAGAGTTTTTAACAAATATATATTATCTGTGTGTAGTGTATATAGAATCTTGTAGTTTTCTGTAAAATCTTTTCAAAATATCGCACAAGAAAATATCTAATGTCGATGTTACACCAACATTTCGCCGAAATTGCTACTTCACTCCACCAGAGCATGATGAAAATAAAAAGAGAAAACCATGATATTTGATACGACTTTTTATATTTAATCATAAAAGAATAAGTTTTGCTCTCTTTTGTGTAAATGAAGATTATTTGTATAGTGAGAAATTGAAACCTTTGTGACATATTTTAAATCGTGGATATAGGACCACATAAACTTCATTAGAAGGGTATCAAACATCTAGCGTACTGTCTCGGGTTGCCTTCAATGGTCTGTATGTGTACTGTACAGCTTGCTCTAGCTGGTTCAAAGTCGGCCCGGAACTTTAAATGAACCGGAGAAATGAGATGAGCAAAAAATGACCGGTATTTTCCAATATTATACTCTGTCTTAGTCCCCCCTTGCCAACAGCTAATCTTATCTGCGGCGCTCGGCCCAAAAACTAAACAAAACCTAATTAAATTATTGGCTAGAATAATTATTATCTTTTCTAGGATTGGACAGACAGTAAAAATACAATTTCCCAAATTAGTTGTTTAAAATATATATGTACAACTAATAACTCAGTATATAGAAAACTATTGTCAGGAGTTTTTATAAAAAATCTTTACATTGTTTTTGTCAAATATCAAACAAATGAAGGTGATAAATAACATTGCATTAATCATCTTGTTTATCAAAAGTCTCCTAATTTATATTGCCGGTTCATGAAATTATGCAAAATCCACAAAAATTGTAAGGAATGTTAACAAGAGGTAGAAGCTAGGGGGGTGCTTATAGTATTTAAAATATTCAGAGTTTAGAGCTAAGTATGTATACTTTACATACAACTTATTCAACAAAGTGTACCCTAATTCAAGGCTTGTCAACCAACTGACAAAAAATTTTTACATTTTTATAGCTTGCCACAAACCCTAATTTTATAATAACTATATCTTTGCAATCTGAGATCGAGTAGACCTTTAAAACTTAAACTTAAATTTTGTCACACGTTGAAATATAAAATGTTTACAATATCAGGTAAAACAAATATTGGGATTAAAAAATAGAGTTTGGGGCAATTAATTACTTCCTTTAACAAAAGTTTAATAACAAAACATTTTTTCTCTGAATTACAACTAAAATGTAAAGTTGTGGGAAATGTAAAAAAAATGCTTATTCAGACTTACTTACTATAAAATAATGAAATTCTTACCAAATCTTACTAAAGTAATTGCTTAGATCTTACTGACTTACTTAAAACTTACTTTTTATTTTTTTCAATTCTGTTTTTAAGGGAAAATTAAAATTATTTGTACTAGATAAATTTTTAGATCTTAATAATTAGCAGAAAAAAAACAAGCTTCTAAAGAAAATAATTTGAATTGTCTCTCCTACAAAGATGAAAGCATTATTGAGAGGAGGTAAGTCAAATAAGATTGTGGTTTTCAATAAGTTTATCACTTTCTCACGTTCTATTACAAACAAGTTGAAGGGCCCGGCGTTGCCCGGGAAAAAAAGTTAATTTTTTAGTCTATGTCATCCCAGGCTAATCATGATCTACAAAAATGTTAAGCCCATTCGGTCTAGCCGTTTGGCCAGCTAGGGAATGTATTTCCGAATGTCTTGTTTTATTATATAGATAGAAAATTAAAAACGAGAGTTTTATCTTTAAGTTTAAAATTATTTTAGTGGTAAAAAAATAGGCACTTTTTATTCTATAATCTTACGCAGTGGTTCTAAATCACAAAACTAACTAGACGTAAAAATGCCGTCACACCAAAATGTATCAAAAATGGATGAAAATGGGATCTTATTTGAAGTTCTCATATTTTAACGTAAGAACTCGCAACCTTTGAATCACGCGGACCAGATGAGATATAGTTAAACAATCGTCTCACTTTTAAACATTTCTATCTCATGACAGCTGAATCACCCTGACACGAGGCACGAAGATGAACATCAGAATCAGCGTGGCACGAGTTACAAAGATGAACTCGGATTGGATGACAAATGAACGATATGGTTTTATGATATTTCTAAGAACATTTTTTTCTAATTAAAACAAAAATCGACGGTTTTGCTTTTTCAACACTTTATTTAGAGCATTTGCTGCAACATTGGGATTTGTATTTGGTCACATTTATTTCTACAACTTGTATATTTTAGTAGAAATAGTTTCTCATCCATTTTTATTCATTTTACTTAAAGGGGCAGTATTTACGTAATTTCAAGTTACCATGAGTTATTTGGAGAGAATCAGATTCACAACGGTACCCATAAACATGTTCGGAGGGGAATATCAGATTCACAACGGTACCCATAAACATGTTTGGAGGGGAATATCAGATTCACAACGGTACCCATAAACATGTTTGGAGGGGAATATCAGATTCACAACAGTACCCATACACATGTTTGGAGGGGAATATCAGATTCACAACGGTACCCATAAACATGTTTGGAGGGGAATATCAGATTCACAACAGTACCCATACACATGTTTGGAGGGGAATATCAGATTCACAACAGTACCCATACACATGTTTGGAGGGGAATATCAGATTCACAACAGTACCCATACACATGTTTAGAGGGGAATATCAGATTCACAACGGTACCCATACACAAGTTTGGAGGGGAATATCAGATTCACAACGGTACCCATACACATGTTTGGAGGGGAATATCAGATTCACAACGGTACCCATAAACATGTTCGGAGGGGAATATCAGATTCACAACGGTACCCATAAACATATTTGGAGGGAAATATCAGATTCACAACAGTACCCATACACATGTTTGGAGGGGAATATCAGATTCACAACGGTACCCATAAACATGTTTGGAGGGGAATATCAGATTCACAACGGTACCCATACACATGTTTGGAGGGGAATATCAGATTCACAACGCTATCCATACACATGTTTGGAGGGGAATATCAGATTCACAACGGTACCCATACACATGTTCGGAGGGGAATATCAGATTCACAACGGTACCCATAAACATATTTGTCTGATCAAATATAAAACAGTTTTTGGTTTCTTCTTAAGTGACTTACTACAGCCGCAATCTAGGAAAATAGTCAAATTAAACACATTTCAAAAAAGAAACGAGAACCATTTCCAAATTATTCATTAGATAAAGGTGACTTAAATATACAACGTCTAGTCCTAAATTCCAACATTGATGTAATTTTTTGTCATTTTTAGAGAAAAGATTCTAAAAGTAAAAGAAAAGAGTAATATATACTTTCTCTTAGTATTTTATTAGGTTTGACCACATGTGTTGTTGCAGTAGAAGTGTTTATTAAATTCATAAACTTGAAAATGAACACTGTTCAAAACAAAATTAAAGTAGACGCCATATTGTAAGACTATGAACTAGAAAGACGACTGTAAGAAGTTAGGATTTTAAATGTCCAATAACATGAAACACGGAAATCATGGAATGTACATTGTACCCTGTACTGTGATACTGTACAGAGAACACAGACCCACTTCGCTTA